CGGGCCGCTGGTCGGCCTAAGCAACAGCTGACCAGAGCAGACAGCGAAACGGTAAGTCAGCAAGAACTCAGTCCTGCCTGCACTGCACCTCGGACAGCCGACAGACAGCATGTCACTGACTCCAAACCCTTCCACACTGTAAACGTTTCCCCAAATCATTGCAGGAAGAACGTTATCTCTCCGAACCGCTCCGTTTGCCATGGCAAAGACCCCCCCTTGCATACGAGGGACGGTCTCCAGCTGCGGGACACGGTGTCTGAGCCAGCTGAAGGCTGTCAGAACCTTCCAGCATACGTTTCATTTATTTATTTTTTATTCGGAGGCCTCCTGCGGTTTGGTGTAGGACGTTTTTTTCTAGCATCGCTAGCAACTGGGTAAAATGGTGAGCATCGGCAACTAGAATCAGCCCAGTTGCGGTTTGCGCGGCTATTGCATCTGCAAAGAAGGGGCATCTTTCTCCTGGTGCCTGAGGTGGGGCTTGGGCTGCTGTAGGTGTGATGCTAAACAGCCCTATGCAGTTGCATCAGTTATGCATGCTCTTGTCACCCTTAGACGCATTCAAAGACCATCTGAAAACGTACAAGAAAAAGCATAAATGAGCCCTAGGCAAGCTGGCAAAGCCTGGGTCCTAGCAATAAGCACTGCAGGGCTGGCCCTGCAGTGAAGATGCTCTCGGCCTCGGGTTCAGCCTCCGCCTTCCCTTTCGCCTCTGTGATCTGTGTGGCCTTGGCTGAGTCACTTAACTGCTGCATGCTTTGGCTCGCCAGCTGCAAATTGGGATGATATTGCTCCTGAGCTGCACTATATCGTGTTGATAAATGCGCTATAAGGTCTGTGGCACAGCAACAGGCCATTAAAAGTACAAGAGATTAGAATGGCTAATCATTTATACCGGCGGAGCGTAGCATGCTGTTCTAGCGTGTAGGAGGCTGCAGTGTGTTGCTCTTTGATTTTTCCAAGCTAACAGGCAACAGGTGATACTCTGGCATATCCTCCGCAAGGTGTTTCCAGTGGGAAGCAGAGATTTACGCGCCAGTCTTTCCAATCCAGTGGGTCTCCTGACAAGCTTTGAGCTGATCTCTCCTAACCAGCGAAAGGAGACACAGCGCCAAAGCCAGTACCCCAGCTCTGAGAAAAACACAGGCTTGACTCCATTTGCGTTACTGAGAGTTAAATATGGGCTTAAACGCTGCATCACTGCTTTGTGGGGCCCAGGCTTTAGACGAGCGTATCGTATAGCAGGGGGCCTCCTGTAGCTGTGTTCCCAGCGCAAGCTGGGGACTTGGCCAGAGATGGTTAAGAGATGCTTTCTGCTCCAGGTGCCCAGTCTACTCCACATCTTGAAAGTAAGCTTTCCAAGCAGGAGCTGAAGCAAAAGCAGAGGGAGCTGCCTCAGAAGGTGACAGCTAGCAATGCAACGGGCCTTCACGTTAAAGCCAGGCAGCTGCAAGCGTTTCCTTCATGAAGGAGGCTGACACCGGTCCCCCCTCTCTATCATGGGTCTCCACCCCAGGGGCCATGTGGACCCTCCAGGTTTCTAGCAGAGCAGCCAGTGAGCTTTCCCGCTTGGGCAGAGGACCAGGCGCCTTGGCCAGGGGGGCTGAATGAGGAAGAAAAGGAAGCACCACGAAACTGGCTCACGGCACCTACCATGGGAGGAACGGTAGGAGGGTGTGGGGAAGGGGGAGGCATGATCCTGGACCAGGAGGCCAGCATAGCCCTGTGGCACAGAGCCCAGAAACTGCAGGGTTTGTGCTGGCAGTGGGTCTGAGCTGCGGCGAGACTGGAGCAATAACGTCTGGGTCCTGGCCACCGCATGAGGCTAGCATTTGCGCAGCAGGACAACCTTATTCCCCCAGCGAGCGTGCGGCGGCCCCTGCCGGGCTGCGGGGGCTGAAGCCTGTCCAGACGGAGGAGCTGAAGTGGCAGGTATCAGAGTTTCTCTCTTGTAAATGCACACAGCAGTTTTCTTGATGGAAAAACACATTTGGGGAGGGCTAAAAGCAATGGAAGCGCCACCCTGCCCTCCATCTCCGGTATCTAGACGGCCTTTCTCCAGCAGCGAAACCTGCACCCCGCTGGGAGTCCTGTTGCTTTCCTTTATCTCAGACCTCTCAGGAGCCACAGACTGCGACTGACATGCTGGGAAGAGTTGGGGGAAAAAGCAGCTTATTACCATCGCCTGGAGGTGTGGGAGCGGGGTTCGGTCCCGACCTGGAATTTCACAGTGTTCAAGGTTTCAGTTTGGGAGATTGGTTTAGGCCCCTCATTTGTTATCCAGGCCAAACTTGAGCAGCCTGTTAATCCGTTATCCTGCCAGCCCACCTGTATGGAGGTATTTCACAGTGTCTGACTGCAATGCAAAGAAAAGGCGCTTGTAAATGCCTCGGTATCCACAAACACACAGAGCAAATGCATACAATGGAAATGGTCAAAGATGCCAGCTGGAAGGGTAGATATGGGGAAAACTTCAAAAAGCTCAGACTCAGTGCCCCCCTCTTCCAGAAACGCGGGCTTTCGAGGGGAATGCAGGTGCTGTGGCTGGAATCAATTGACAGATTAATGCGCTGAACTTTTCTCCTCAAGTTAAAGTTTTACTCTGAGGGCAGTGCAAAGATTAGTGGTTTTTCTCTCACCTTTTTTTTTTCTCCTCCTCTTCCTCTCTAGAAAGTGTATTTTATACCCATGGGAAGTCTGGCAGCGGGAGAGCATCATCCAGTGACTAGCAGTAACTCGGCTGCTGGCATGAAAACCCTGACCCAACCCATCGGAGCTTATCTGGAAGGTAATGGGATTAATCAGCTTCTTGGCTGATTCAGACTTTGGTATCTCTGCTACGGATGCTGCGATCTGCCCCAGTGAGGCAGTCGCTGTCTGCTGATGATGTCAGGGATTACAAAGCCCAAGACTGAGCGAGTCTGGCAAGGACGAGCTGCACAGACCAGCTCAGACCAGATTTGCACTAACGTGCAAAGTGCATGACTACTGACTAAGTCAAGCCAAAGGTTAACAGTATTCGAGAACACAGAGATCAGCTGGTGAAGCTGAAAATGCTAAGCGTTCAAACCGGTGTAGGTCTTCCCGTGAAAATGTATGTTATTGTAATACTCTGGGTAAGTTTACTGTGTTATGTCTCTGTATGCATATACAGCGTTCTCCTCCTTTAAATTCCCAGGATACATCTAAATGTGTGGGTATTAGCATTACATCTACTTGTTGTAAGGTTTATGTGTTTGTATATGCAGTCAGAGACCTGTATACATCTGTATTTGTGTATGTTTGAGTGTGCATATGTTATATACACACAAAAATATATTTTAAAGCAGGTGCCAAGTGCTATTGAAGTACAACATTCTTATTCATTTTCTAACTCCTTAGCTACATATGCTGGAAGGTTTTTCTTGCTAAAATTCAGTAACAAGGTTTGTAATTTAGCAAACAAATCCAACACAGAAGCCAAGAAAGGTGTTGAGGAACATCTAGAAACAGGCTGTTAGCACATTCCCAAGTCCCTGGCATGCAACATAGCAGTGGTTCTCGGTGTTGCAGACTGTTTGATCGAAGGACAGTCAAAAAACAGTCTTTTAGCTGGATAATTCAAATTTCACAGGTTCATTCTATGACTTTGCAAGTCTCCCATTGTTTCGTTTGTCCCCTAAATATGAGGATTAGTAGTGACTGCTCGGAGCTAAGCAGCGACCAAACAACCCATAGAAATGTTAGGAAGGCTTGGGTTTTTCATTAACTTCAGAGCTGATATAGGCTCATCTGCCGGAGCACAAGTCAGTTTTGCCGATCCTGCTTCCTCCGTCCCGTTCCCGTTGTCCCTCCTTCTGTGCCTGAGCTCTAACCACACTCCGGAAAAGCCCTCCTCAGTCCAGGACAGCAAGTGCTCCCAGGAGGACTGCAGAAGACTCAGAAGATGGAGAAGAAAAATAAAATGCAAGCAGAGAAGGTAACCAAAGCGCAGTAGTATTTTTACACTAGAATTTCTGAGGGAAATCAGCACGGAGCACTGGCATTTATTGCTTGTGAAGACCAAAAGCAACAACAAAAAAAAATCTCCTCCCATTAACTGGTCTTTGACATCTGCATCCTGAGTGCTGGGGGAGAGGGCTGGGGGATCGTTTTTTGTTTTTAGGAATTCTGACAGCTTATAAGATAATTTTAACTACGATGGAAGAAAATAATTCATGAGACGGCATTGCCGAAACGCACCCTCTTGGTCATTTTTAACCGGTTGTTCTGCCTCAGTAGGATGGCCACCTGTAGAACGGCTGGGCACTGAGCAGCGCATATTCCCGGGCTTATTTACATTAACTTGTTAGATGTGAAGGAGCGCTCATCAAAAGCATCTCTTTAGGGGACGAGGGCATCTGATCAGAGAGCATCTGCGAGGAGCAGCGTGCAGATGGCAGACTGCTTCAAGCAAGGCAATGTCACTCTGCTCTGGGGGCTGATCCTGCCCGGAGCATCCCCAAAAGAGCCTGCAAGCCACCAGCTCCCCGTGAAACGAAGGAGGCAACAAGCCCCGCTGGGAAATACCTCCTTGGCACCCAGCTATGCCCTGCGCCCAGTGCCCTCGGCACCAGGGTTTCGGAGCAGCAGCATTACGGCAGCGGCAGCTCTGGGTGCC